TTTGCAATATTTTAATGTTATAGCCATTTTTATAATTCATAAAACACCTAATAAAAATTTGCCAAATAGTTTTTTGGCTAGCTCGGTTAAGTTATTGATTTGGCAATAATTGGTATATATTTTTATATATAAGATAATTATTTTTTCCTATTTTAGAGAGTATTATATTATTTACCCTTACTTAATTTTGTTGTATCATTGTGGTCATGTATGTGCTAGTTTTTTGCTATTTATGGCTTGCAGTGCTTTGATCTTTCCAGTTTTTTTTATATAGCTATTTATTCTTTGATGTGAAATTATTAAGATAATTTCCTTGTAATTGTATAAAAGAAATAATCTACACCTGCCATTTTTATAGTAATATATGGTACTAGATATTATTGTTAGATTGTTCTGATATAGTTTATTCTAGTACTAGTACTAAGTACTAAATGCAAACCTTTGCTCACTGTATATACTAGATGTAGTAAATCTGGTTTTGTAAATTTGCATTTTATCTGTTTTTTGTATTTTAAATAAGATTTGTTTGTTGAATTTTTTGTTTTTTTGTTTTTTTTTGTATTGTATTTTTTGCCAGATAGATTATTTGATAATCATTAATCGTCAAAGACCAAAAAGAAAGGGCTTGATTTTTTTTTTTTAGCAAAAAATTATGTTTAGTACTCATGAGTATAGTACATAGCTGGTGAAGTATGTTTATAACTGATATTAAACTTATCGACATAACATGGCTGATATTAACCTTATGATATATTATTGTGTATTTTATTATTTAATATAAATACTATTGCTATCAAACTGATTATACTTTAAGGATAGGGGTATGTTGATTATTTTTTATATAATTTTTGTGGTACAATTTTCTTCTTTTGAAAATTAAAAAATATTTTATTAAGTAAACTATTTTTAAAAATTAAATAAAAGTTGTAGAATAGATTTTTCTGATTCTAATGGTAGTAAAATCATTAAAGTGATTAAATATTCATTGAGATATGTGTATTTAAAGATTAGATATTGTTTTTTATCATATGATAATCATATAATTTAAACTAATCAAAATTAACAATTTTGTGTAACCCCCAGAAAATTTGAAGGCATCCCAGAAAACTTTATAATATATACAAGTATATTTTTTTAAAATATTTTATCTATTAAAATTTTTACCACTATAAAGAACATATTCTAATCTATTTACTACAAAAATTTGATAAAAATTAATTGCAATAGTAAAAAGTTTTATTAATAGCATATTTTTATTTTTTATAAAAATCATGTTATACCACTAAAATCATATGAAAAATGATCAACATACCCCCTACCCTTAATTTATTAATAAAACAAATATTCAATAAATACTTAGAACCCAACCTTTTCATTAACTGTTATAGATATAAGTTTATCTGATTATCAATAAATTCTATTTAATTTTATATTATTTATATAGCTTAGAAGACTTTTTTAAAAAAAAACTAAAAAACAATCATAATAAAGTAAAGAAAAGCTATATAGAAGGTTTCATTAAAGCTGTAGAACTCAATAGTTAAAAATAAAATCTAATTTCATATTTTTAAAAAATTAGCTTAGTAATCAGTTGATTTTATCAGGATTTGAGAAGTTATTACTATACAAACTTTTTTAAACAAATGAGAATTAGATCTTATTTTTGCTATGAAGTTCTACAGCCCTAATAAAACCTTCTATATGGCTTTTTATTTTATTATGATTAGTTTTTGTATTTTTAAAAACATACTCTAAACTTTATAAATAATATAAAATTAAATTGAATTTATTAGCCAATCAGACAAACTTCTGCCTAACTTTAACTATAGAAACAAAGACTTTAATACTTGACTCAAATATTTCTATGTTCTAATTTCAATCTACTACTTTAATACATCTGCCCTTAGTAAATAAATTTCTTAAATACGTAAGTTTTATTTCTACAATATAAAATTTATCCTTATAATAACTAGCACCAGTTCTGACTTTACATCTAAAACACACTTCAAATCCTATATTTTAAGTCATTGAATCCCATATCCAAATATTTTAAAAAAATAAATATCAAATAAAACAATATACTATATATTTATATTTTATAACCATTATTAAGTCACCCTAATAGAATTACTATGCTCTATAGAAGTCTTTTATTATTCAATCCACATAACTTCTAGTAGTGGTTAGAGCTACACTGTATATTTATTGTGTATCGCTCTTTCAACCAACTGTTATACCAGTAAAATTTTTTAGGTTGGGCTAAGCTACAAAAAAACCTATCAGACCAGACTCAAACTAGTTTGAAACTTTGAAATAAACCAGACCGAACCCGGATTTACTAAAAAGTTTGAATATAAAAGTTTGAGTCCGGTTCAAAAATCAAACCAGACTCAAACTTGATTAAAGTCCAGTTCGAATCTGGTCTATAGGATAGGGTTGCTGGTGCAGTTATAATCTAATGGCATGCCACTGGTGCACCAATAAAACCTTTTGGTGCATGGCGTGCCATTAGGTGCACCATTATATTATATTTTTTACTTTTAAACAATCCATATTTGTATTTATTATTAAGATAAATAAAGTAGTTTATTACAAGAAAAAAAAATTTTAAATACATACCAAAAAATGAACAATGAATTTACTATTTTGGTCAAAGCTTTTGTACGTACGTACTAATTAAAACTTTATATTTTCCAAACGTTTTCATATTTTTATTATAGATTTTATTATCAATACATATTTTTTGGAAAATTTTGCCTATTTTGACTTCTCTCAAGATCTCTATTTTGGTCTATCGTTGCAATTAAGCATCAATACAATTATTAGAAAATCACAGTAATAGTAATGCTTGAGCATATCTCAATAATATTACATATCATTCATATTATTGACATTTATCCAAAATGCTATAACAATAGCTAAAATTAATACTTGTACACTATTTCGACCAATACAAAATCGTGATACTTGAGAACACCCATTATATACTATATATCAGAAACTTTTAGAACTTCGAACTGGTTTATTTAATAATATTGTTAGTTTATTACAATTATTAACAATATTACTATCTACAAAGCTTTCAATAACGTATTAGCATTATATAAATAGTTCAAGTAACAATAAGTTTTAAAAATCAGTTCAAACAGAAATACTGTTGTTATTAGTACAGTCGTCCCTTGTTAATATCAACCTAGACTATGCAATAAACTTTTATATATTAAAATTATATTGTATTCCCTCATATATATCAACTTTAATATGCTCACTTATTAATATCACTATCAACATGAATATAAAAGCAATCTAAATAGGTTGATATGAATGAAGGACGACTGTAATGTATTTAAAAATTATGTGTATAGAATGAAACTCTAAAAAGAATTCAAGATTCTTAAAACAGGTAATATACAATATTTTATTGTTTAATGAATTTCAAAGATCGTTATCTGCTTTATTTTTTTTAACTCTTGAACTTATAGATAATCGGAAAATACTGGTTACTTAAATATATAGTATTTTATATTTATTCATTTAAAATACTTCATAATTTTCATCATAGGGTGTTCTCAAACATCAATCAAGATGCAATTTAATAGTGGTCAAAATAATGTACAAGTATTAATTTTAGCTATTTTTGTAGTATTTTGGATAAAAGTCAATAATATGATTAGCTATTACAGTGCATTTGCGAAATTAAGCAATAACATATTAGTAGTCAAATTTTTTAAATATTGGGTATTTTGCTAATGCGCCATAATGGTTGGCAAGATTATTGAAATACTTAAGCATTACTATTACTGTGATTTTCTAATAATTGTATTGATGTTTAATTGCAATGATAGATCAAAGTAAAGATTTCAATTACTGCTTAAGAGGATTATAAATAGTTTATCAAAAATTTTGCGTATTGGTAATGAAAATCAATAATAAAAAGTAGTTAAAAATATAAAATTTATTTAATGAATAAGAATACTGTATCTTCTAATATTTTTATAAAGTTATCTTTTAATTTTAATAAAAAATAAACTATAATAAATCAATTACCTTTTATGTAAGAGAGCAGTTGAAAAGAGAATGGATCTATTTATTACCTGTATTTAAAATATCATCTAAAGTCCAATTAGATGTATTTTCATTTTTATCAATATTTTGTTTTACTTTATCCGATATTGTAATTAATTCTTCAATAATATCAAAATTAATAAACTCCTCCATAAATGACTCTGAATTATTTTGAATCGATTCTAAAGAAATTTCTTGAACGTGGCTAAATTCTAATTCATTATCTTCTTCATCAGTAAAATCCGAAGAAAATAATTCTTCATAATAATTATCTAAATCATCAATATCTTTATCTTTTTCAACCAATTTTATAGTTGGATTTTTTTTAGGAACTTCTATAGATAAAGCAAGATTTATTTGTGAAATCATTTTTAAGGTTGAAGTAGCTAATCGGTTTCGAATTTTTGTTTTTGTCATGCCATACGTGAAAAAAGTTGTTCTACTCAAGCAGAATGAGGGTGAATTGCAAATATTTTTAGAGCCAATATTTTTAATGCACCAGCCTGATAAGAAATATGCTTCCAATATGCTCGTGGTTCTAAAGTTGTTAAATTAAAAGGTGGTTCATTATTATAATAATTTAATAAATTTTGTGAAATTTGTGTAGCTTGATCACGTGTAAAGCTCCATTTTTGCGCAAAAGTCAATGCATAAACTACAATATCATCATAAGTTAATTTTTTTGATAGTGCAATTTTACGAAATTTTGGATTTAAAAAAAATGCCAAGTAATATATAGGTTCGTCAAATTCTTTTGCTCGAAAATTGACTATATTTTTTGCATGATCAATTAATCCATAATCAAAATCTTCAAATTCACTTGATTTTAACTTTTTATAAATAAATAACAACTCTGCAAATATATCACCTAAAGTTGTATTATTAGATTCAAGTTTCGCAATTGCATCAACTATATATTGAAGAACTGTAGTAAATTATTCATTTTCAAAAAAATGGCGACGACTTGTAATTATTTCTTTGATTTTAGTTGGGAGAGAAGGGCATTCATTAGGAAAATTATTATTATATTCAAGGCAAGTTTGAAACCCATTTTCATAGGTTTGAACTGAAAGACAAACTTTTGAAAGTGAATACCATCGGGTTTCACAAAAAGTTTGTAATCCAGTTTTAATATTATTTTCTAAAGCCCATTTTCTTAACTTCGCATTCCAAAAATGTGAACTAGTAAAAAAATTTACTAATACTAAATTTTTTTTAATCGTATTTTGATATTGCTGATATGATGAAACTCCTT